GTGCGCCGCGTAGGCGATGGCGCGACATCGCGCACGCGCACGAACGACACCGACTCGAGCCGAACAGATTAGAACGGATTCTATCAGTTTAAGCATGTAAGCCGAGGATTATGGCAACAAAGGCGTCGAACTGTGATTGGTTTGTGGATACTGTAGAACACTGTAATTTGTTGTAACTAATGGAATTTAAAAGTAGAAGATGTCCCGGCTTCTTGGTATTAAGTGAAACAAAACGTCGTACAGCCACCTATATTGCAAAAAAGGGGGAAATTAGGTGGTGGAGGTATTTTCATAGTGACGGATTGTAATCAGTTACCGTGATTACGTCTGAACATCACATGAGCGGAAAATGGGTTCATGAATTTCTTTTGAGAGCCAGGCCACTCATTAACTTTAGGCAGAAATTCTGTTTCGTAAAGGTTACAGTAGAAGTTCACCTCTTTCTATTAGAATAAAACAGAGAAGATGAAAGGTTAAGGATTTCAAAATTCAATTTGTAATGAAATGCATTATTATGCCTGAAATCTGAATTGCTTAACAAATTAGTTTGCCAATACCTATACCTCCTTTCTTGATTGAAAGCGCTAATCCAGACCTGGCTAATTTGTGGAAAAGAGACAAAGTCAAACTTCGAAATCTAGAATTTTTGAGAGCAAGTCTCTTCAAAGGTATATGTTTGTTAACTTACCCGCCAAAAGCGGTAAATGTTCGGTCCAAGTGCCGTTCGACGTCTGTGCGGTTGCATCGCTTGGTGTGTCCCATTTGAATTCACTTCTTAAAATAAACATATTTAGATCACTGCCTTGATTACATCCAAAAACAATCAATTTTCTATCCACAATCACCCCTAGTTTGTCACATTCCGGATGGATAACCGGATCTCGCCTATCTGCAAAATTGCTGAGAACTGGACTAGAACGAGAAACTGGAGGAGTGGTACACAGCCAACAAATGGGTGTAATTTTTGGGACATGTTTGCAAATTAGGACTAAAATAGCTAGTTTATTCAGAATAAGTATTGCAGAAGAGCTGCAGTAGGCCAGAACGGTGGCATTTAGAAGGAAGCAAGTTTATCTGATAAAAGCTTTACAATTTTTGCCAATTTAATAAAAAGTACATGTTGTAAAGCTGAAACTCAACTAGCTGTATGAAAAGGAATTCTTTAATAAAAGTCTATTTATTTCGGAAAATTCTACTTGATAATTCAAAATCTAGACAACTCCCTCCGTGAGGCAATCAGGAAATGATAAAATTTAGCATGAAAATTAAGTCGGT